GAAGGAAGGAAGGAAGGAAGGAAGAAGGAAAGAAAGAAAAATTTCAGCTGCAAATAATAGAAATCCTGATTCTGGCTTAAACCATGAGAAATACATTTATTATCTGTCAAAAGTCAAGAAGGCAAGGGCAGGGTCAGGGTTGAGTAACTCACTGATCAGTAATGTCCACAGAGACTCGGCTTCTCTCATCTCTCTCCTGGGCTGTTGTCAGTGTTGGCCTCACCTTGGACCGGTGACAGGTGGCATGAACAGAGCTCACGTGACATGCAGCGAAGAGAAAACTTTCTGCAGAACCGTCCCTTTCTTCATGTATCATGTTATGGACCAGTTTCTGAAGCAACCAGCCACTGGGATTGGTTTTACCATGGGGTGGAATGATCACAATTGACTTAAGTTAATCACCCAGGGTGAAGTGGATATTAAACCGGCAACTCCATCACCAGAAGAGTTAACAGCTAAGTGGGCCTTTTCTAAAATTTCTGTTTCAAGGCATAGATTTTAAGCTGAAATTGACAGGAATTATTTTTAAAGTTTTTTTTTTTTTCAAATCTTCATATAATAAAGACGTATAGCTATTAAAATTATGTAATAAATCACTCAAAGAGGGTTTATTTGATAAAGGTTGAAATGTCTTCTATAAAGTGACATTTGTTAATATAAATAAATATCCTATTAAAAAGAAATATACGGTCATTATGTCTTCATTTCTGGCCCTTCAAAAATATGTTTGATATTCCCTTATTAATATGACTAATAAGTGATTTCTCTGCACCAAAAAAATCATGTACATTTTGGCAGGTGATTAATCTCTGTGCAAAATGAACAGAATCTAATATTTATGAACAAATTAGTGATAGCTATATAATCTATTTCCATAATAAATGCACTGGTCCATATGGCAAAGCCAAAAAAGAATATAAAATTAGCTTGGCAAGATTCAAACATGGAAGATAAGAAAACTCTAATACATGGCAGTGAACATCTTTTGTTCTGTGTACCCATTGCTTGCCCTACTCTTCCGCAAAATGCCACTTTTTCTACTTTAGTTAGGTATGTTTATGTAAGAATTCCCATAACTTCTGCACAGTGATTGGCCAGGGGTGCCCAAATGGACCTAGTTGAGACATTCTTCATACCTTACCCTCCTGGTTGCAGCTAAGTGGTCTGTGGATAACACTGACCCAACAGAAACCTTCCCACAGGAGTTAGCTTTTTTTTTTTTCATTTAAATAGATTTTGGGGCACAGGTAGTTTTTTGTTACATGGATGAATTATATAGCAGTGAATTGAGATTTTAGTGCTCCTGTCACCCAAGTAGTCTATGTTGTACCTAATGTGTAGTTTCTTTGTTTTTGTGTTTTGTTTTTTGTTGTTGAGATGGAGTTTCTCTCTTGTTGCCCAGGCTGGAGCGCAGTGGTGCGATCTCGGCTCACTGCAACCTCCACCTCCCGGGTTCAGGTGATTCTCTTGTCTCAGCTTCCCGAGTAGCTGGGATTACAGGCACGCGACACCACACCTGGATAATTTTTTGTATCTTTAGTAGAGATGGGGTTTCGCCATGTTGGGCAGGCTGGTCTCGAACTCCTGATTTCAGGTGATCCACCCACCTCGGCCTCCCAAAGTGTTGGGATTACAGGTATGAGCCACTGTGCCTGGCCAATGTGTGGTTTACTTTATCCCTAGTCCCTCTTCCACCCTTCCTGTTCTGAATATCTAAAGGCTAATATATCACTCTGCATGCCTTTTCATACTCATGGCTCCCACTTGTAAGTGAGAATATGTAATTTTTGGTTTTCCACTCCTGTGTCACTTCACTTAGAATAATGCCTCCAGCTTCATCCAAGTTGCTGCAAAGACATTATTTCATTTTTTTAAGGGCTGAGTAGTATTCCACAGTGTATATATACCACATTTTCTTTATCCACTCATTAGTCAGTGGGCACTTAGTTTGGTTCCACATCTTTGCAATTGTGAATTGGGCTGCAATAAACATACACGTGCAAAGATTCTTTTCCTTTAATGACTTATTATCCTCTGGTTAGATACTCAGTACTGTAGTGGGGTTGCTTGATCAAATGGTAGATCTACATTTCGTTCTTTAAGTACTCTCCATACTGTTTTTCATACAGGTCGTACTAATTTATAACCTTGCTTTTTGACTTTTTAATAATGGCCATTCTTGAAGGAGTAAGGTGGCATTGCACTGTAGTTTTAATTTGCATTTCTCCCCCCCACCCAGGAGTTTTTAACTTGACAACACAGATACCAAGTTTTAGGTCCTCTCTAGTGATGAAACTGTTAGCCTGGAAACTGCTGCTAGCAATATTTCCGGCAGTGTGGAAGAAGTGAGTGTGGGAGAATACAGACTCTGTTCATCCGTTTTCACGCTGCTATGAAGACATACCCAAGACTGGGTAATTTACGAAGGAAAGAGGTTTAATTGACTCATTGTTTAGCATTGTTGGAGAGGCCTCGGGAAACCTACAATCATGGCGGAAGGAGAAGCAAACACATTCCGCTTCACATGGTTGCAGAGAGAAGTGTAGAGTGAAGTAGGGGAAACCCCCTTATAAAAACATCAGCTCTTGTGAGAACTCATATCACAAGAATAGCATGGAAGTAACTGCCCCCATGATTCAATTACCTCCCACCAGCTCCCTCCTACAACACATGGGGATTATGGGAACTACGATTCTAGATGAGTTTTGGGTGGGGATGCAGCCAAACCCCATATCACCAGACAGCATGAAGACAGAAGCAGAGACTAAAAGGTGATCTGTTACTAGCTGAGTCACTGAGGTCTAGGTGCAACCTTGCCCTTCCTGAAGTATCGTTACAAGAGACAATACAATTTCCTCTTCCAGAACTAATTTGAATTGTGGTCAAACACATGAAACAAATCATCTTGACTAATACATACTAATACTAACACAAATTTCATTTCCAGTGTAATTTGTTTGTTTGTTTGCTTGCTTGCTTTTAAATATTTCCCTAAAGTATATGTTTGGGAGTAACTTCTATTTTAGGTATATTTTTGGGAGTGACTTAAAAATGATCTTTTCAGCTGGGCACGGTGGCTCATGCTTGTAATCCCAGCACTTTGGGAGGCCAAGGCGGGTGGATCACCTGAGGTCAGGAGTTTGAAACCAGCTTGCCCAACATGGTGAAACCCTGTCTCTACTAAAAATTCAAAAAGTTAGCAAGGCATGGTGGCAGGCACCTGTAATCCCAGCTACTCGGGAGGCTGAAGCAGGAGAATCGCTTGAACCCGGGAGGTGGAGGTTGCAGTGAGCTGAGATTGCACCACTGCACTCCAGTCTGGGAGACAGAGTGCGACTCTGTCTCAAAAAATACATATATGTAATCTTTTCAGGAAACAATATGAGAGATATAACATGTTAGCATTAAAATTCACTTTTTTTCCTCCTTGGACAGGGCTTCTAGCGTCGTCTTGCACCTGTATTACAATAAGTAGTGAACATTGTGAAGTGCTGCTCAAATCCCCCTTCAGGACCGAAGAGCTTTTTCCCTCCATTACTGGGAATAGTGCCAGCAAACATCTTTTTTTTAAATTTTTTTTTGAGGGTCCCAGCAGGTTATACTGTGTTTTTTACTCTTGTTATTCTTACACTGGGAATGGCAAGGAGCTTGACTTCACTTTTGCCCTGGCAGACAATCTTGAAATAATAATGTCAAATAAAAGACGTTATTTTTATTTATTTGTTTTTTTATTTTTTTCTCTCTCAGGTTTATTTGTACAAACAGCATAGGAGGACCCCAGCCCCATGCAGATGGCAGTCCGGGGGGTCGCACCAATCCTTCTCTCCTCATGTTGGCAGACAGAGGCCTCTACTCTGAAGCCTTTGTGGGGGCCTGGGTACCTTTGGGAGCCTGAGCTGGAACTGAAGCTGGAGCTGCAGACTGGGCCTTGGTTTGATTTTTGGCCTTTGGCCGGCAGAGCCTGAGCCCCTTGGCAATGCAGACATGAGCACGCTTCCCCAGCTTAAGGTGGGCAACGTAGGCAAGTCGATCGAGCTTGTGGCTGACACCCTTTGGGATCCTGGGCTTAACCTCCTTGGGTGTTACAAGGGCCTTGATGGCCTCGGCACGTGCACTCATGGCCTTGGCCTTGCTGGCCTGCATTTTCTTCAGGCCCTTCTTATTGTGCTTTTTGGAAAAGTGCATGTTCCTCAGGACCTTGGGGTCCATCCCCTTAAGAGATTCATATCTTTGTGATCGGGGTTTCTTGATACCATTTCTGTACCATTTTCGAGACTGGTTGTGTGTGGTGTGGTTCTTGGACTTGGCCATGTCTGCACCTGAGCTGCAGCTTCCAAAGCGCCTAGAACTGGAAGAGCTATTTTTTTTTTTAAATTATACTTTAAATTCTGGGGTACATGCACAGAACGTGCGGGTTTGTTACATAGGTGTACATGTGCCATGATGGTTTGGCACCCCATCATCTACATTAGGTACTTCTCCTAATGCTTCCCTCCCCTATCCCCCTACCCCTGACAGGCCCCAGTGTGTGATGTTGCCCTCCTTGTGTCCATGTGTTCTCATTGTTCAACACCCACGGATGAGTGAGAACGTGAAGTGTTTGGTTTTCTTGAGCTGACAACTTACTTAGGAATTTCCTCACCACCTTGCTCACAGTCATACCTCTTCCGGAGGCAGCCTGCCTCCAGTGTCTGACTCTCTCGTCAACTCGGGACAACTCTGGGAGGCCATCCTAGCTTCAGAGCGTCCCATGATGAACTGAGGAGTTTCTTGAGGCTCCACTGAAGTTCATCTTCTCCTGCCCAATCTATCTTTCTCCTTCTTTCCACAGACATGGCTCCCAAGACCACTCCCAATCCACTCTCAGCATTCTAATCTTCATCTCGGGGACACCGCCTTCTAAAGAACTCAACTGGCAGCACAATACTTTAAAAATCATCAAACCGTGGGCCACGCACGGTGGCTCATGCCTATAATCCCAGCACTTTGGAAGGCCAAGGCGGGTGGATCATGAGGTCAGGAGTTTGAGATCAGCCTTAACAACATGGTGAACCCCCTTCTCTACTAAAAATACAAAAATTAGCTGGGCGTAGTGGCATGTGCCTATACTCTCAGCTACTCCCAACTACTCAGGAGGCTGAGGCAGTAGAATCACTTGAGCCTGGGAGGCAGAGGTTGCAGTGAGCCGAGATCACACCATTGCACTCCTGTCTGGCCACAGAGCAAGATTTTGTCTCAAAAAAAATTCATCAAACTATGAAAATATTATGGGGTCTTCTAAGAATGGTTCCTTAAATTTTCTTAGCACTCTGCTAAGCATTCCAGAGACAGAATACAGGTATGAAGTATGCCCCCTGCCCTTAAGGAGCTCACAGTCTCACTGGAGACATGTAGCTTAAACAGCCATCTTCATACAGCTCAACAGTGTGCTCAGATAAAGAAAGCTAAAATGAAGCCAAAATTAGTACAGAGTAGGTCATACATAAATATTGAATGAATGAATGTGTTAATTACTTAATAGGAAGAAACCTATGTGAGCTCAGCTAGACCTTAAATTAACATTTATTTGAGGCCAAGCTGCATTTACCACTGCCATTTTACTTTTATTTATTAACCCAGTGCAGTGCGATTCTCCCAGTGACCTTGGACCACCCAGCTCGCCCCACTTTCTCACTTGCAGTTCTTAAGAACAACAGTAGAAGCCAGGTGCGGTGGCTCGCACCTGGAATCCCAGCTACTAGGGAGGCTGAGGTGGGAGGATTGCTTGAGCCTAGGAATTCCAGGCTGCAGTGAGCCTGGGTAGCAGAATGAGACCTCATTATTTAAAATAATAATAGCAATAACTGTAGAATGCACTGGGAATGCACATCCTGAGGCAAGGAAGAACTGGCCAGAGCTGCTCAGTCTCTGTTCCTTCTCCCTCCCTCTTTGACACAGGATGTTTTTAAATGCTTTAGCCCAGCAAGTCACATTACCCTGAAGTATAAAACCCAAGGCGTTTGCTGTCCAGACTTCCTCAGCTGCGATGCAGGTTGGATACATGCAGATGAGAGTCCATCTGCCCTAGGTAACTTTCCTAAGTCTCAACAGAGCAACCTGTCCTGAATCCTAGGTGTCTGTTGTCCCTTGCTGCCTGTCTGTGAGTAATAAACTTGCTTCATAGAACTTGTGCATCCAAGTGTTCTGTCTTGCTGGACCCAGGTAAGTAGTAAAAGCGCAGTCCAAGAAGCAGTGGGCTGAAGTGGAAGCAGGTGAGCCTGCTTTGCGCCCACTTTATCATTGCTTACTTTTCACAACAAGATATAAAATAACCAACCTGAGCAAAGACAAGACCCTACTAGAAGCTTTACTTTGATTTGGGACAGGTCCCCAAAATAAGAGCCTGCCCTTTCCCCATGTTCCAGAATCTCACCTCTCATTCACTGTCTGAATGGCCAAGGTGGACCAAGGCTGTTGTCACCCCACAAATAACCTGTGAAGAAAGAGAGCCATTCTACAGCCAGTAATGATTGTAATATTGGTAATAATATCTTACATCAGTATAGTATTTTGTTGTCTCTGAACTGTGCCTTGCTTGATCCTCACATCATCCTGAGAGGCAAAAAGAATAGATATCATTGTACCCCCCTTCCACAGAGAAAGAAACTGAGGTTCAGAGATCTTACATGTTAGAGCCGGGCTCTGCTGAGGTCTTCTAACTCCTACTGCAGCCTTACTCCTATTGCAACTCTACCACCCCTGGTTTCTACATCTACTGTATTCTTGGAGTTCTGTTTCTTACGGCTCTCCCTCAACTGAGAGTTATGGTTTATGTCAGTAATAAGGGAATGTATGTCTTTAGTTCTAGTGACACAATTAGTTTTGGACTCAGCAAACATTAATCAAGCTTAACAAAACTGAATTTGTATTATCTTATACGTTACTAAGAAATGATGCATTTGAAACACTATTCACAATAGCAAAGACATGGAATCAACCTAAAGGTCCATCTGTGGTAGACTTGCTAAAAAATTGTGGTACACATATACCATGGAATACTATACAGTCATAAAAAAGAATGAGATCATGTTCTTTGCAGGAATATGGATGGAGCCATTATAATGGAAGGCCATTATCCTTAGCGAACTAACACAGGAACAAAAACTGAATACCTCATGTTTTCACTTACGAGTGGGAGCTAAATGATGAGAACACATGGACACATAGAGAGGAACAACACACACTGGGGCCTATCAGAGGGTGGAGGGTGAGAGAAGGTAGAGGATCAGGAAAAATAACTCATGGGTACTAGGCTTAATACCTGGGTAATGAAATAATCTGTGCAACCAACTCCCATAGTGCAACTTATTTAACAAACTGCATATGTACCCCTGAACTTTTTTTTAAAAAAGTCAAATTAAAAAAGAAATGATGCATTCGAATATAAACCTTGAATTAAAAAGCAGAGAGAAGTTTGTCCCATTAATTACACCAATATTTGAACAAATATGTATATTGCATTCTAAAAGATAAATACCTTTAACTTTTATGTAGGGTACTATTTCCAATTAGACAATTTCTCAAGAGATAAACACTAGATTGTAGGGGAAACTTCTTTTTTATTTCTATGCTGCTGCACAACATAACATTCTATTCTTAACTGAGATATACTTTTTTTTGGATGTCCACATTGGCAGATCCCTTGTGAGGTGGAGGTGGGGCGGGGGTGAAACTGATGGGAAAAGAAATTGTGCCGTCAGCTCCTGCGATGCGCCTTCAACTCAAATTGGCTTGCAATTTCCTCCACATGTCTTCAGCCAGCATATGGCAAAAATATCAGTTCATTTTGCCTTCCCTTCATGAGTGAATTGAGGTCATCTCTTGTGCAGTTATTATTCTGTAAGGATTGTTCTGTAGGATGATTTGATTTCCTATTTTCTTGTCTACTCTTATTTCCACCTATATTTACATCTCATTGATTCTCAGGAATAATGTCTTACTCAGCTTCATTCCATCTGCTCATGTATATAATGAAGATTCTGTTTCTAATGCATTCTATTCCTGAGTCTGAGACGCATCACAGCAGTCCCACTTATGGACAATATGACCTCGGCCAAGACAATTATCTACTTACTGGTTTTATCTTCCTTCTCTGTACAAAGGGGACAATTATAACTGTCCTGCTTCTTAATATGCTTTGAAAAAAAATCACAATAGATCTTTGAGAGGTGTGGATTTATTGTTCACGGTTGTGCATTCACACATAATTCCTGGAAGCCCTTGACATAGAGAACAGATTGTCATTTTGGATTAGTGGATGTTTAAAGATGGTACCTGAGAGAGTCATTCAGCTGATGCCGGAGCTATGGGACTGTCAAATAATTGTTTCTTGTGGTTCCCTTCTCATCAGTGAAAACTCACAATGAATAATAAAAGCATGTTTATTTAACATAGACCCCAAAAGCAAGCTAGTGTTGAAAAAGTAAAGAGCAAATAAGGTAACCATTACTAGCCAGAAAAAATTTGGTTTTGAATAAATGAAAGAATAAAAGAATACTGAATTGGGCATTGACTCTGCTATGTGAATGATTCTGCCATGTTTATTCAATATGAAAGGAACAAAGGATGACTGAAAAAAATTGTTTCTGCAGTGCTTTAGGCAACGCAAACATGGAAATTTGTGGGGGAAAACTGTATGTTGAAGTACTTCTGTAACGTGGAGGATTCTAGATGGCTTTAGATGGTTCTCTCTTGAATGTTAAGAACCTGCCATAAAAGGCAGTGTGGAAATGCTGGCTGTAGTATTATTGTCTCATTGGATGAGGTACTGCTGATTGTATAGGAGTTATTCATACTTTATAATATTGTTTTGATTCCTACATAAAATAACTATGTATTTTAGGCCAGTGCGGTGGCTCATGCCTGAAGTCCCAGCACTTTGGGAGCCTGGCGATGAGATTACCTGAGCCCAGGAGTTTGAGACCAGTGTGGGCAACATGGCAAAACCCTGTCTCTACAAAAAATACAAAAATTAGCCAGGCATGTTGGCAGGCACCTGTAGTCCCAGCTACTCAGGAGGCTGAGGTAGAAGGATCACCTGAGTCTGGGAAGGTCAAGGCTGCAGTGAGCTGAAATCAGGCCACTGTACTCTAACTTGGGCAACAGAGTAAAACTCTGTCTTTAAAAAAGGAAAAAAGAGTAAGTATTTTAAACTCCCTGGAACTCATACTCCATACTTATGCCTGAGAAAATAGTAAGCAGGTTGGATAATTTGTTTTAAAATATTGACTCACGTAAGGGCCAGGCATGGTGGCTCACAACTATAATTCCAGCAATTTGGGAGGCCAAGGTGGGTGGTTCATTTGA